TGTACACACACAGACACAGACACACACACACACACAAACAGCATGCAAAAGATCACCTGGGTTCTTCTAAATAACCCTGTGCTTGTACACACACACACACACACACACACACACACACACACACACACAAACAGCAAAAGATCACCTGGGTTGTTCTAAATAACCTTTGCTTTCACACACTGCTCCCATACACTCCCATGATCTCCCTCCAAGACACACTGTATTCAATACTCTGTGCAAGCATAGAAACGGACACACACATTCAAACCACATACTTGAACATATCAATTAAAATACACATAAAATCCTCACATGCACAAATCTTTGAACACAAGCATTTCAGTACACTTATAGAGGTGCCTTACTCACAGATGCACACTTTACACACCACAATAAACACTACCTGTAAAACCACACTGACATACTACATCTAAGTGTAAGCACACACCAAATATACATATGCACACAAGCTTCAGTAGGCACACACACTGTTAACCTCCATACACTCACCACAGCAGAACCACAGACCCCGGCAGAATTACACATCCAACACACCTATATCCAGACCGCACCCTCATAGTCACTCAGTCAGTCAGGCAGAATCATACATCCTACAAGCATGCACACACAAACAGCACAAACACATGCCTCCTCCTGTCAGAGAGCAAAGACACCACACCAAAGACTTGGGTTAAAACATGCACCTCACCCCCACCCCCCTTGCACACATACGCCTGGCCACACGCGAACACATACACAGATGTATGGTACCCGCGCGCGCTTGCACGCGTACATGCATACATACATACACATACAGCCCGCCCCCTCCTTCTCTCAGTGCGGAAGAGAAGGGGGCGAAGAGTGGAGGCGGGGAAGAAAGGAGGGAGGATGGGCGTGCAAGGCGGAGCGGGCACAGAGGCTCTTTTCCCTTTGACCTGAGGGTGTAGCCCCTCTGTCCCAGGCCAAGACAGTGAGTTGGGTCCAGGTATGGTCCAGTCGGAACCCAGGAAAACAGGAAAGTCCCGGGATTTCGCTAGCAGGCGCGAGCACTCTGGGAGGACCCTGACTCAGATTGTGGTCGACCCCGCTGGAAGCTCCTCCTCCAAGTACCCTCCCCCTGTCCCATCTATTTGACCTCTGCCCCTCCCCCAGGGTGTGCAACTTCTTTTTTATCCCTAGGAGTGGACATCTGAGGAGTGTGGGGCTTTATTGGTTTCAAAAAGTAAAGAGTTGAGATTTGTATAGAAGCTTTTTTTGCGAACCCCCTAGCTTCTATCTCGAAGACTTCTCTTAATGGAGAGCTCATTATTTTGCACAGCAACAGATTTACTACATAAAAGATAGTGGCAATTAGAAATCACTGACTCTGTGCTGGACACACAGTAGGAAGCAATAAACGACCCCCCTCCATTTACAGCAGCAAATCTTGCTATTTGCAGCCTAGCGCGAACCTGTTTCTGCTCTCACACAGAGCGCTGGCGCTCTCTCTCTCTTACTCTCTCTCCCTTTTTCCCTTTCTGCCCCTTCTCCCCCATTCTCCCCTCCCCCTTCTCCCCCTTCCCCCTTCTCCTCCCTTCTCCCCCTCCCTCCCCTTCCCTTCCTTCCCCCTTCTCCCCTCCCCCCTCTTTTTTCCTTAGCACTCAAGCCCTGCGCTCCCTGCACATATGGACCTCGGACTTGGAACCACCAGCGGCAGGGGGCGGCAGAGTGGCTGAAGGTGGTTTACAGTTCTTGCACCTTAGCCTCATTCGGAAACTCCAAGGTCCCATCCTGCTGTAAGCAGGCTACTGGGGTCATTCCACAGTTTTCCATGGACAGATGACGGTTTAGCCTCCCGTTTTTTTTTTTTTTTTTTTTTTGTCTCTCATTCTTTTTCTGTGGAGATGGACCACGGGCAAGGGAAATGGAGGAAGACGAAGTCTTGCCTTCTGGATACCGAGAGCCAGTTCGCATAAAGTTATGTGCAAAGCCTGTGGGTTTCCAAGTGGTCAGTGGTTCGAATTCTCATGCTGCCACTTTGTAGATGACTACAAAGTCATCTAAGTCGCTGGCTTAAGAAGCAGGGTAGTTGAGGCGTTGACATATAAAATACATCTCCTTCCTTCAGGGACCCTTATGAAAAATATAAGGGTATGTGGGCTTGGGGACAGGAATCAGGACAGTTTTGAAGGTCTTGGCCACTAGCTGATGCCCCTAAGCCAGATCAGGAAGTCAATGAGTGGACAGGGATTCAACTAACTTTTCAATTTCTTAAGCAGTGTTGTGTGTTGAAGGGAAATGCCAGCATGGGTGACTTAGTGATGTCACTCTCCAACTATAAAAAACTCCTAGTCACAGCTCTCCTTCTTGAAGTTGCCCCATCACAGGAACTTCCTACTCCTCTCACCTACTCTCCCCTTTACCAAGGTGGTACATTAATGTTCATAGATTTATAGTGAATAATCCTTAGTTCATGTTCTACCAGTGTCTAACACAGTGCTAGAAACACAGCCCAACTGTAATGCCTGGGTGAAATCCCCTGGCAACACAAACTTGGAGGTTCAAAAAATATAAAGAACACAGAAGGGGGACTCCAATAGTGGCACTACAGGCACTGTGGGGATAAAGGGTAGTGACTTTGGGCAAGGGGCTATTCTATTCATCCTCAAAGCCCTTTATCTCTAAGTCTGGCTGGAAGGGTGGTTTTTTTTTTTTTTCAATGCAGTTGAGGCTTCTGCAATCAATTAAGGAGAAAGCCTCTTTCCTGGAGGGCAGAGGCCTTAGCCAGCCAAAGGGTGAGTCACCACCTAGGAGTTGGGCAGTGGAGTTGGTGCTGAAGTGGCAATGAATCAGTCCAAGATAACACAGAGAGATTACCTGAATGGTGATGAGAAGGGGGATCAGACAGGAGCCTGAGCCTCAGTCCCCTGAGGCCCAGACTAAGTGATAGAGGGACTACATTTATATGCACAGAGTCAACTCCTAACTGGCCTCCCTACTTGTACCTCATGAAATCCCCAAGGATAGTCCTGGCAGCCTTCATAGAGAAGAAAGCAGGATGCAAAGCACTCCTCCTAGGGCAAGGGGTGTGTGAGGAAGAGCTGGGTTCTCATTTGATTCTACTATTTGTTTGGTGATCCTGGACAAGTTCTTTTTCTTCTCAGGGCTTCAGTACTGAAGCAAGTGCTTAGTGTTTGCAGATGCTATCTGCTCGCTTTTCTACAAAGCACCCTGAGAGTAAACATGTATTCTCCTATTTTGAAGTTGAGAAACCTGAGGCTAGGCCTAGCAACATTCACTGCTGGACCTGTTTAATACCTAAGATCGCCTCTGTGTATTTATGTTACCTCAACAATCATTGCAATTTACTCCAGCAACTTGCCAGTCCTCTGCCTAAATTGGCTTCCTATGAATTCAGGTTCAAATTATGCCTCCCTGCTGCCTTCCAACACTAATATGTTGCTGGTTAATTAAGTGGTTTTTTTTCCACCTCTGATAACATACCCTCCTCCCCAAATACTAGTCTTTCTCTGTCATGCCAGTCTAAACTTCCATCTTAAAAGACAAGCACTATAACTAGGGTGTAGCCCAGTGGCTATACAATGACCTACATTGCCCAAGACCCTGAAACAAGTCTCCAGTACCACCCAAAGCAAATACTGATAGAAAGATGTACCCCAGGGTCAGCCCCTTATCACAAGGAAGAGGGAATTGTCTGCAGGATGCTGCAGTGAGGACTAGGGACAATGCTGCCAGGGCCAGGAGGAGGGGCTGCAGAACACTCTAGAGAGGGAGACAGGGAGAGAGAGAATGAGGATGAATATGCCAGAGACAATTGGACCAGCCTCAAATACTCCCTCCCTCCTTTTCTCCATCTCCTGGTCTGGTGCTCTAGAATGTATAAAGGGGAGGCACCCAGCCCATTTCCAACAAGAGAGGAAGGCAGCCTCTCCTTCAATGGAGAACAAACTCATCCTGAGCATTTCAATTATACTTCTGCGTGGGGTAAGATTTATTTAATTTTAGGGGGGAACAGGGGGAGAGCTCAAGATCATCCTGGTGATAGTGATGGTAGTACTTGAACCCCAAACAATACACACATATAGCCAAACCCAGAAACCCCTCTCTCTCTCTCTCTCTCTCTCTCTCTCTCTCTCTCTCTCTCTCTCTCTCTCTCTCCTCTCTCCTCTCTCTCTTCTCTCTCACGCACACACACACAGAGACACACATACATCTCTATCTCCAGTGCTCTACTGTATTCCCTCTCATCCCCCTCTTCCCTTCCCCCTTTTCTGAAAAGAAAGTTTCTACTGAGCTTCTGGATCTCTCTTCTAATCTGGATTCTTCAGAGTTATGTGTCTTTCTTAGGCTTTGGAGAAGTAAGGCCATATCTTCCTAGATATTCTTTGTAGCCAGGTATACCCAGAATGAGCATCTGCTCTCTAACTATTCTTTTCTCCTTTCATCCTTCTTTCCTTTGCTTGGATTCTGCTTTTTTCTCCTTTTTCCTTGCTGGGCTCATACATAGTCTTTAACATTCTGGACTCTCACCTTTTCTATTCTTTTGCCTTTTAACAACCACAGTCTCCCATTCCCCATTGACT